GTTGCCAAGCGACGAAAACCCAATCCCGATGGCAAACACCGGGGGGGGTCCAATGATGGGAGAAAAAAAAAAAAAAAATATATATATATATATAACGTACCAGACGACACGAGCGTGTACCCTTCTCGCGATAAAAACATCTCAGGCAGGAACCGCAGGAGCGGGTCCAACCCCCCCTCCTATGTGACCCCGGCTGGGTTGTCTAGCTGGTAGAAGTGGAGGATAGAGGCTAGAGGGGCAGACGGCAGAGTCCAATGATGGGAGAAAAAAAAAATACATACATATATATTTATATATAGAAGTATATACCGGCAGGAACCGCAGGAGGGGGTCCAACCCCCCCCCCCTCCTATGAGACCCCGGTTGGGTTGTCTAGCTGGTAGAAGTGGAGGATAGGGGGCCAGAGGGGCAGACGACAGAGTCCAATGATGGGAGAAAAAATATAGATGTATATGTATATATTTAACGTACCAGACGACACAGGATAAACACCTACATAAGATGGAAACACCCCCCACAGATCCAACAACACCCGGTGCAAATATAAAAATATTAATATATATACCGTACCAGGCGACACAAGATAACACACCTACAGAAGATAGAGACACCCCCAACAGATCCAGCACCCGATGCAAATATGTTTGGATTTCAAACTAGATCCGAAACACCTCCCGGGTTACATAAGAAATCACACCCCGTGAGGTGATGCGTGTATTCACGGAGCCCATGCGGCCATCACCCGGGTCTTGACTCAGCAGAGGTTCCTGATAACATGCAAGATGGCCAAGGAACATGCGCAACACACCCTCTGAGTGCGGGGGAATCACCCCGTACGCGTTCCTTCCTTCAATGCAAACCAACCAACTTTCTCCCCCGCCTTGTTTGTATTCCACGTTCTTTGTGCCAAGCGGTAGTGATGGATGAAACCTCCTTTCGTTAAATGGCAACGCTCTGTTTCGCTGTTCCGAAGAGAGCGCTGTTGACGTTCATGCCGGGGTTATGTGCTCAACACCCCCCCCCACCACTCACTTCCGCACGACTGGAAGCACGCTCGGCAAGAACTTCGCTGCTGTAGTCAGTGGTATCAGTGCTATCACCCCTGCTCAGTACCATAAGTAGCACCAGTGCGACAGTAATGCGATAGTATTTTTAAGGCAGTGGTATCACCCTCCCTCAATACCACCCCCCCTTCGTGTAGCCGCAGGCACGGTAGGTAATTGTTTGCAGACGGTGCTAACACCCCCCTTAGTCTCCACATAACTTCAGTCCCTGCAAGTATGCGATAGTGGTATTACACACCCTGGTTACTGCACCCCCTTCATGACTCCCGCGACCTGCACGTTATCACCCGGGCTCACAAGAGCACCCCTCCCACACAGAATACAACACCCGGTGATACATTTTTCAAAAGCCTAAATGAAATCCCCGGGGTGTGTTATCGTATGTCGTATTCTAAACGAGTGCGTGCCACAAGGTAGTTCTAACTGCTGGGGACCGTGTTTCATCAGGATTAAAATCCATGCCTAGAACAAAAGCAACTGCCTAGACAATAGCTACTGCTTGTTCTTAGCCTGCGCTTGCTTGTCGACGGGTACTTGACTAGGCATGACGTCCATGTCGGCTTCTGAGGTCGCAAGCAGCACAGACGTCGCTCCGGGTAAAGAGACCAGCTTGAAGGTGCCTGTCAAGAAGCGCATCGTTTCGGGAGTGCAGCCCACAGGAAATCTCCACTTCGGCAACTACTTGGGAGCCATAAAGCAGTGGGTCGACAACCAGGTGGGGAACATCATGTTCGTCTCCCAAAAACAAGTTGAAGAGTCCTCAGGTGTCGCTTCCAAGTTGTGGATGTACCGGATGTCGTGGGAGTGCGAGTCCGTGGCACGTCAAGCAACAGCACACGTGACGTTCGTTGGCACTGCTGTCGTAAGGGTGTCGGTCGTGTGTTGGCTTGACTTGACCCTTGTTCCTGTGCGATGGAAATGTTCCTCAGCATCACACGCAGTCTTGCCTGCCGGCTGCAGCTGCGGCCAATGAGTATTGTGCTCATGACGGGTCGAAGGTGACTCAGCGTGCATGTAGCACCAAAGTGTGTTACTACTGTGTCTGAGGAATTCAGACGTCGCTTCATGTTTGGTCCGTGCAGGAAAGAAGACACACTCGGGGCTGCTCTTTCAATAGAGAGCAAGCCTTCCGAAGCCTGTTGTCCAGCACCCTCTTGGGTAGATACAATGTTAAGCAATCAAAGCATGCTTCTCTACCGTGTCTTGGCTCCGAAACACAGGACAAGTACGACAACTTCTTCTTCGTAGTGGACCTGCACGCCATCACTGTTCCTCAGGATCCGAAGAACCTCAAAGCAGGAGTGATCAATGCTGCCGCGACGTACCTCGCGGCTGGAATAGACCCAGAAAAGTCCAAGGTGTTCGTCCAGGTGCGTTGTTCAGCTGCAATGCAGTCTAGTCCGTCGGGCGTGCTTTGCTGTGCTCGAGACTCCTAGTTGCCAACATGAACCATGAGCAATTGACGTTCCTGCTGGGTTCCTCTTGACTGAAGTTATCGTCTCGTCACACTCCTCGTGCTTTCACGACAGTCACACGTAGGTGCGCACGCGGAGCTAACGTGGCTTTTGACCTGCGCAGCTCCCATCAACTGGCTGGAGAAGATGATCCAGTTCAAGGAAAAGAAAACGAAGCAGGTACAAAATGTGTGGTTATACCATGTAGGTAAGATCACAGGGTGGCGCGTACCAGGCACGAGGGGTACATCGTTGTGCAAAACATGCGCAGTTTCAACTGGTCTTTGCTTCCATACACGATACAGGGAGTCTCTGCCTACCCTTGACTCCCCTGCAATGCAAATCAACTATGCATACACAAAACACTTCCTTCGCCAATGTACGATGCAAACGATCAACTCGATGCAGGGCGAGAACGTGGGGACCGGGCTGCTGACGTATCCGGTACTCATGGCTTCGGATATCTTGCTCTACCGACCGGACCTGGTCCCTGTTGGGGAGGATCAGCGACAGCACCTAGAGCTTACGAGAGACCTTGCACGAAGGTGCAGTTCTAGCACTACAGCAGTGCGCTCTCTTGGCCACCTTTCCAAGTAGATTGATGTCTATTACCCTGCGCTTCTAGGCGTTCCTGCAAGGGCGGCGTTGCAATGTCGGTGGCCTTGCTTAGTGGAAACACTTGTACACCGAAGCCTGCAACAATCATGACTCACGTAGTGACGTGCGCCTGAGACGGTAGAGCCGGAAGGTGTCCCACACCGATCGGGAAAATGTTGAACGTAAGCTCGATCGACAATCAGAAGTGTTGCTGCTCCCCGCCACGTTCCGTGTATACCGCTGCTCAGGTTTAACGACCAGTTCTGCAAGCGAAGAAGGAAAACCTTCAAGGACCCTCAGGTAAAGTACATCACTTATCCCTCAGGGTACACACCTGTAGCATGCAGCTCAACTTGACCACACGAGCATTGGTCCGATGTACACGCATTTGTGCAAATTCGGTTTTGTGTCATTTTGCCCGTCGTGAGCGTGCCGGACATTTTAGCGGGATATGGTGCGGAAGAATATGCCCTAAGAGCATGACCCAAAGCTTTCGTACGTCCATGCCCCTCCCACTTCCCGGATCACGTCATACTCCCCGTGTTCCCAACGACTGGTGACTGCTGTGTAGGCTCTCATTGTGAAGGAGGGCGCGCGCGTGATGTCCCTCACAGACGGCACGTCGAAGATGAGCAAGTCTGACCCTGTGGAGGGTAGCCGCATCAACCTCACGGACTCGCCGGATGTTATCGCCAAGAAGGCGAGTACTGCTGTGCGCAGTAATCAGCACCCCGGCTGACTTTGTGTGGGGGGTTGCCGTTCCGCCCTTTGTGGTGTAAAGTGTACAGTGGATACCAATCTATAATAGAACTAGGCGTGCTCCGGGGCTGGTATGTTGTTCATCGTCCATTGTCAGCGAAGCTATGCACAGCTCAGAAGGGGTCGAGTTTCCAATAAAAGTGACGTGTGATGCATACACTACCATGGTACACTTTTCCCATGCACAACGCGTACAGCCATGTAGTGTACGCAGGGTTGATAGTCCCGAATACTGCACTTTCAGCAAGGAACACCAACCTTGGATTGCTGCACCCATGAGCAGGTTCTGTTTCCAAACGACGACATCGGCACAGCGAATGCTCGATTCCCGATTGAAGTGTATCCAAACGTCTCACTCGATACAATGTACCTTGGTTTACTTTGCCGTGTCAATGAAATTCTGTCCCGCCAGCTTCGCAAGTGCAAGACAGACATGCATCAAGGTCTGGAGTGGGATAACCCCGAACGCCCCGAGTGCACCAACCTCCTCACCATCTACCAAGTGAGCAAATCCATCCAAGCGAGATTAGCAGGGGCGGCCCCGACTGTCAGCAGTCGCGAACGCGCTGGCGTAAAACTGATTGTTTCCGCATATTGTATGTAGCGGTGGTTTTGCGGGGCACTGCCATCCCTCAGGTCGATGTCGCAAAGCGCTTTGTTCGACGGATCGGTCGCTGGTAGGGTATACTACAGTTGGCATGAGGGTGCATTTCCTTTCGCGTGGGAGAAGTGTTGAGACGTGGAAATCCGGGTGTATTTTACACGCGCTTGCTGTGCCTCGCCGGTACGCGCAACAGGCGGTGACTGGCAAAAGTCGCGAAGAGGTCTCTCTGGAGGTTGGAGACATGAGCTGGGGGACTTTCAAGCCTCTCCTGGCGGATGCCACTGTGGAGCACCTTGTGAGTTTACAAGTGTAACGATCTCAACCATGTGGTGTGTTTTTGTTTCATGGCGATACATTGTATCCGAAAGGATGCTTGAGTTGGCACGGTGCATAGAGTCGGTACGGAGTTCGAATTGACATGGGGGTGCGAAACGAAACAAGAACGGAATGATTCAACGCAACGATCGATGCCGTACTGAAGTATGGCACTGGAGTTCCGACTCAAGCACCTTTATTGTTTTTCTCTGCTGCGGACGATGCAGTCGTTAGGGTTGGGATTTTCGTTCCTACGTTTTTCTCGTGTGCGCTGCGCTGAAAGCTGCCGCATGCCGCGAAGCGAGTTTAAAGCTGAATTGCCACGTCCCTTGCCCGTCCCCCTCCCCCCCACCCCCCATCCTGCCCGCTCGCTTCTCTCTGGCCACCTGCGTGACGCAACGGCTGTGAGGAATACAGAGGCCTCTACAGGCGCGATACAAGGATATTCTCGAGGATCGTTCGTACCTCAACAAGGTCAGTCATGTCGCGCCACCATCTGATGTTTATGTCATATCATACTGCCATCGAACAGTGGTGGCTAGGTTACAGCCATGAACGTCACCCACTTGAAAGCTTCAAAGTCGCCCGGATACTAAATTGCTTGTTGGTGTACGGACAGGGTGACGACGCCGTTGCACACTGTCGCACTTTCATCCCACTCTGTTGTGTATATGGTTGTTCTGCCGTGTCAGGTGCTGCGAGATGGCGCGGAGGCCGCAGATGAGGTGGCTTCTGAGACCTTAGGATGGGCCAAGGAGGCGATGGGCATTTCTTCGCTCAAGGACTTCCAGTAGACTAGATTGTACTCTTGGTTTTCCACGCGTAGCAGGAGGCACTGGGGAAGTACTGTTTTCTTTGTAAATGGAATGGAATGGCGAAATATTTGATTGCTGTTTCGAAGCGAATTCAATCTGTGCACTTTACTCTCGCAAGTAGCTACTGCCCCGAGCGGCATGACTTCGCGAAGTGTACGGACGTTTCTGCAACCCCGCGTGAGACTGGCCTCAACCACTTCAGTGAGGAGCACGTCACCGCTGCACGACCAAAACTGATGTGATGGTCAGGGAACGTTTCCTTCCGTAGTCGGTGGCCTCTTCAAGTGTCTCCAATGTTTCCTCCCCTGTTGAATTGACCGTCTTTAGGACGATTCGCGGTTTCCTGGCTCAACCAACGTCTCCTGACACTAGGACCAGATCTGGACTAAGACAATGAGTTGGAGGGAGCCAACGCTGGCATCGGTATCCTCTGTTGCCGTTACGTGTTGAATGTGCCAACCACCCTTGGTGCAACCGGCCTCAACAGTATTCCAATCCACTGGCCGTGCACACGCTGCCGTTGAACGGATTTTCTGTCAACCCTACCGAGCAATTCTTTAGCGCAAGTGGGACTTTTTGTCTAGAGCAGAGCACATGCGTCACGTCCAATACCAATTTGGTGGAGTCCGTGTACGTAACCTGCTTCAAGTTGCCCCCCGGGACTATAGATATTTCTTCAGAAAATCCTCCCCCACCCCCTAGGGTTCATGTAGTTGCGGGTTGTTCGTTGAACAAGAAGGAGAGGGAAGTGTACATGGCTGAGCTGGGAAAAATATAAGGAAGGTACAGAGAGATGTTTGAGGCATGGAATCGCGAGGAAAAGACGGTAGCCGTAATGGTGCATGGGAAGAGGGTTGAAAAGGCGGGAAGGGATATCGATAGGATAGATAGACTAGGGACGACATTTTTGAGCCACCTTTGGCAAAGTAGGAAGGAACGGTTGACCATCGGTGATCGGTCCTGTGGGAACAATGCTCCGACCTCTCAAGGACGCGTGGTCAATGGTCTAACCGCTAAGGCATGCAAAACAGTACGCCCCCCCCCCCGGCAACTTCCTCCCCTCGGTGTTGCCATCGGGATTGGGGTTTCGTCGCTTGGCAACGACGTTGTAAAACAAGCCAATTCACTTCGTGAACTCGGCAACCAGGTTACCGTTTTTTTTTTTTACCTCCGTTTTTTTTTTTGGCGGTAACCATAATGGTGGTCGAGTAGATCATGTTGTGCGGGGTGGAGAACCCTCACTCCGCGCAAGGGGGATGATCGCACCACGTTGTGTTAAAATGGTCAAGCACCCTCAAGGCAGTTACACAGTGCTTACAACTGTCTCTGGAAGTGAAAGCACCAGAAAATAAATTAAGTCATACGCAGCTGTCATCCGTACGCAAGGAAGTAAGCACAAGATGCCGAACACCCTTAGCAGGATGCAGCGCACCCTTCATGCGACTCGCCGAATATCTCACGGCGCTTCGCGCTTGGTGATGTGAGAGCCTGGTCCGGTGAGATCCCGGCGTGCTCCGTCCCGGCTTTGCAGGGATGCGAGGTCAATGATCTAACGACTACGGCATGCACCACAATGAGTACACCCGTCCCCCCCCCGGCAACGGAAGACTTAAAACCTCGGCGATATGACTTCATGACGTGAAGCCAGAAGTATTCGATTCCTACGAGATTCGAAGGTCCTTCTTTGTCCACTAGCCCAAGGAGAGGTACCCCCCGCCCCCTCGCTCTTCTTGACTCTCTTTCGCCTCCAGTAAATCAAAACACCTTCATTGTGAACGCTTTTGACACGCCTTCGATAGAAGTGCCACGCATGTCCTCATCCCGCAAAACAACAACGAAAATTGGGGTTGTGAAACTACGCATCAGCTGTACTGCACGCCGCACGTATCCCCACTTCCTGTCGCCCCCGATCTATTGGTGCTGTGGTGCTTGCGTCAATTCGTTCCCGGGTCTTCTCGTCAGGGTCCCGTTTCCGTTCCTTCTTAAAGACCATGGCTGCGTCCACTCGGGCGCGCCATGCTCTGTTACGGCTTGCGGTCGGCGTGGGCGCGGTGGCATTCTCCTGCTTTTCTGCTGACACATCCTTTTCGGCTCCATCTTGGTCTTGACGAGCCGTTCGAGCTTGCCGGCGTTGCTTCACTCTTGCCTCCTCTGCTTTAATTGCGTTGTCGGTGCTCTCGAGGTGTGCGGGCATACGAACGCCCTTCACCGGGCAGTGAAAGTTGAGTTCCCCCAAGGCGGGATCAGAGAAACGCGGCTCCGGTAAAAATGGTAGCTCTCGTAGGTTTTTTCGTATGGAGCAGATTCAACCTGAGCTACTGTAGTTCTCCATGGTTGGGAAGGCACGTACCTGACTTGTTTTCCAAATATCCACCAACCTGCGACAGCTGACTACACAGATGCTCAGCAGGTCGCCCCCGTTGTTCGAATGCACCCTTCCAACCCTCGGGTCGTCAGAGTTCATGGCTTCAAATCTCAGCGCCACGCATCAACGCGTTAGACTATCAAGCTGCAAGTAGCAAACGAGAGGGCGAGAGGATTGCCGAGCCCCCATGACGACCAAAGCGGAACACTTGCACCTCAAAAGAAAGCAGGGGAGTCTTACGGAGAGTTCAGATTCCTATGCATGTGTGGCCGAAGCTTTTCAAAGGTGGCTGCAGGAGAGACTGGACTGAGTACAGAATTATTGAGATGAGCGGACATAAAAATAGATGCTGTTTCATTTCTCTCACGGATATCCTCCCCTGAGCGAGTAGTCATACCTGCTGCTGGATATACTTGGTGAATCGAATGGCGGAGAACAAGCCCGGGATCATTTCCTTCGTCGATTCGGCGTGAGCCAGAGGTTGTTTCGCCCCTGAGGTATGGTGGGTTCAAGCCGCGTGAAAGTAGTGGACGCCACACATGATTGTTTTGCACAACAAACAATCCGGCCGTACGGCGTAGAAATCAATGCCAGTGTACTTGGCAGAGGCCAAGTCGGACAAAACGTAGCCCCAGAGATGGAGGTGCGCTCCACCTATTAGTAGAGGGGTTCGTGACAACGAGGGTCAGTCCTCAACAACGAACCAATTTCATATCGACCTTCAATCGATTGTCCATGGAGAACTTGGTCCCAGATCTGTAGGCCTGAACGCGTTTGTAAGAGATCAACATTAGTGGCAAGGAGCATCGTTGTGCGCACGTTAACTTTGAATCAGCGGCTTGTTGCTTGTGTACATGGTCTAAAAACCCACCGTCCGCATTGTCGCTTTCTTGGTCAAGAACCTCGCTCTCTACTTGTGGCGAGGATCCCAAGCCCCAAAGTTCTGGATTAATGTACCAGGCCTTGCCGTATGGTGTACGATGACTCGTCTGCGGTACTCCAACCAGGTCGAGAAATGACATACAAACGTTAAAGCGTTTAACGTAGTTGGCTAAATAGCTGAGGTGTAGGTGGTGTGCTAAGCTCAGAAGTTGAGAACGATACGGCAGACACGGTACAACAACCTTGTCCGGAGCTTTGGGCATCATGCCAATAGGGTATTTGTGGCGATCACCCCGAATGCCTGACATATTCTTCGCGTGTGCGGCACGCGCGCTAAGTATGCTAGAACATTGCTCATACATGTACCAAGTAGAAATACGGGAATAGCAAGACAGCGAAAACGAGCCCACCGGTTCGCGTGGGATGTTTTGGAGAGATGTTGGTGGCCTGGGATCCTCGCTTAGTGTTTCCGGTCCTTTCTTTCTCATGGCTCTGCCTCCTGACCTGCTGATTGTTTCAATTACCGATAGCGATCAGCATGGTGTCCCCTGTTGACGGACATTCTCTGAGCGCTACAACTAAACAATCAATTCGCACCGTAGAATTTCGTAGAATGCAAAGATATGGAACACATCATATTCGACCAAGAACATCGGCTGGCCGAGTGACACTTCCGTCAACCCCCCCAACGCCTCTCTTTATCCAAAAAAATATGAAGGGACCTCGAGTGGAGTGGTATGGTGAGTCTTACTCACGGACTTTAAATTTGCAGGGCACTTACTCATTGCTGCTGCACTGTGGGCTACCACCACATCTCGTCACATTGTGCTTGGTGTTCTTATATGCTGTCATGCGGTCAACAGAACACAACAACAGAAAACGTTGTACCTGCTGCGAGAGCCTTTCGGGCGTGTCGGCGACAATTGCTTCATTGGCATTCCAATTTTCAGTCTCGTCATAGCGCTTCTTTCAAATGCTCCTTCTACCTCCCTGGAAGGCCGAGGGGCAGTCGTTTCTGATGACGATGGCCCCTCTATCCTGTAGGTGCAGACAGTGAAGGCTGGCGAGCGTCAGCTAGAGTTCGTGACAAGGTTGGCGAGTCGAACCTTGTGAACGGCTTGATTTGTCCCGTGCTCCTACAGAAGTTTTTTTTTTCCAGTTTGTTGCCAGCTGCGAGGGACCTCTCACCGACAACGTCGATGCTTGCATAATGGTTAGAGTGTACGAGCAATAATCTACCTTGAAACGCACAGTCCGGCGGACGAATGAATGATAGTCAAGACTTCAGAGACGTTGGAATTATCCCCAATACACAGCGTAGAGAAACCTGTAATCGGTACCTCTTGCTTGCGCCCAAAGTACCAAAAACACTCACCGTTTTTCCTTTATTTCCAGGAGCTTCGACATGGCCTGGAGTTCGCTCGGCACGTTGTCGGCAACCTTGATGCTGCGGAGTGTTCGGCAACAGAACAAAAAGAGTTAGCGGTTTCGGAGATTGAACGAGGCGGGGTCGTCGAGAGTACACCATAGTTCTTGCTCGGTGCGCTTCTACCCACCTAATGCAAGGTTTGTAAACCAAAAGTGTCGGGGGCGTGCTCGGTCTGACCGGGACTTGCACCGTGCCTGGTCGACCGTACACCCGTCCTTGTGCATCCACGGTGTCCGCAGCGCTTTCGACATCTTCGATGTTGTCTCCCACCATGTATTGTTGTAAGCAGGGACAAGACGCCAAGTCTACGCCATCCCATGATCCTGTGTCTTCCGCATGCCTTGATTCTCCACCCTACCCGGCCGCACAGAGGGCATGGACAAAGTACGCCGCGACCCAAGGTTACCACGTTTGACCTCTTGTGATGTTCCGCGGAGCTTCAGGTAACGAAATCATCACACTTTAACACACTGGTGTACCTGTAGGTCATCCACACGAACTCCCCCTTTCTTGAGGGCAGCAACAAGAGCTGGCAGAGCGGGTGTCTTGACCACGGTGGATATTGGCGGATCCTTCAGGTGATTTGCAGGTGAACACGCCGGGGGTATGGCGGCCGCGATCGAAATTTGAAATGCGGTGCTACTCATGATACCTTGCACCTGGAATAGCTTATATGGTAGGAATACGAACTTGATGATATGGCATCTTGCAGAGACTACGATTACCTATCCGACAGCAACGTAATCAAGCACACGAAGAGTCAGGCTGACATACAGGTTGCTTTTAGCTTTTTGACAGTGTAGTGCAGGTGCGTCAAGTTATACGCGAGCGAGAAACAGCAAGTGCGATCTGCGCTCGAAAACCCACAGGGCCTCCCCAAGACGATTGCTCTGTGATTGTGCGTTTTGACAGCCAGCTTACTGTGGTTGGTGGCTTCGGGATATGTCAGACTAGTAGACTATAACAGTCGACCCCCTACAGTCGCACCTCGGGCAATATCGGAAGATTGCGATGGGGCAATGATGCACTCGGCGCCGTCCACGAAGAAGTATAAGGACCTTTTTTATTGCAAACAACATGGCCATGTTCTTCCTCCACGTCGTCGCCTTCTGCATCACCTTCGTCGACGCCTTGTTCGAGACGGTGGGACGGGAAAATGCTGGTCATGCCGAACTCATTCGCAAACCCAGCCAAGATACCATTTCGGTTCTCCAGTTCCCTGCGGTCGGCCTCCCTCTTCAAAGATTTTTGTTGCAACCATGCAGTGGAGAAGCCAGGTTCGTCGTCTGAGGCGTGTGCAAGGAAGCGCCATTCCACCTTGTTGCGTTTTTCAGGAGGGAAGCAATGGTCATAGAGGCAAGTCGATGGACCTCTTCGATCGCGATATGGGAACAAATTATGGGCGAGAACTGATTTGGACGAGGACTATACTCATGTAGTACAAGCATTAAGTTAGAATTAGCCGAGAGTTTTGCAATATTGAGATATTTACCGGAGTTTTTGCTTTGCTGATTTCTCTTTTCTTACCCCAAGCAAAGCCTTGTCCATTGGAAGTCGTGTGCGTCTGCGGTCCTGTAGATCTCGCCGGACATTGATACCTTGAAACATCTTGTTGATTCGCTTTCGAACAGCGGGTGTGAGCACGCCAAACACGAATGTGGTACAATTGGTCAGCGAAATAAATCCGGCGTATGTGCGGAAAAGAGGCTAGACTGAATCGGGCTTCTGCTGTTTACTGCTGGAGTACCAGGTATCAAGATTCAGTGGCCGCCGCCGTTGGAGCGAAGCCGAGCGGAGCTCCTCACCGTGTTCGATGGTCGGATCTTTGGTATCTGTGACTACAAAGTGACGAAACGAATAGGATAGATACAGCTATGAGACATACATATCTGCTCATGTATGCGCTCAAGCAATATCTGGCATAGTTTTGCATATGGAAATGGGAGCATCGACGCACCCGGGCCCCCCACTTGCGTGTTACTTCAGGTATACGTACAGCAGCTCAGCAGCAGCAGTGTGTTACAGCAGTTTGTTTTGCGGACATGTTGCGTCCTCCTCTCACATGATTACTGCAAGGGCCAAAGATAGTTCTCCGCAGTTTACAAGCTCGTGTGCTTTCCCTCTCCTCCAACCTTGCCACGGATGTAGGTGTGAACAGACAGCCTGCAGTTCGGTGCGCGCTGATGGAATCGTGTAACACAGCAGTAGTAGTAGCAGTCGTGGCAAGCAACGGCAGATCCCGACTCTTCCGAACTGCTGCGGCTGTATGTACCATATATTTCTTTCTCGTATCCACTACACCATAAAGCACGGTAGGCGGTAACTACATGGGGGAGTTGCGAACGCAAGCGGTCAGCGCTAAGATTGATTATGTGAAGATCTGCGAAGCGCCCTGCGAAGCTGCGAAGAAGCTGGTTGTGTGGTTGTGAAGAGGGTTCTCGTCGGTTCTCGGTTCTCGGCGCACACACTCAAACGGCATGGTTTGCACCGCGCCGGCGCTCATTGTCCCCGGTCCCCGAGGCAAACATCCTTTTCGCCAGCGACACTTGTTGGCCGGCCCGCTCTTGTTCGACGAGTCTCTCGTTTCACACTCTCTCCCGGACGTCTAAACCTCTACAAAGTATGAAGTGCACCATCGCTATGTTGGCCGCTTGCGCGGCAGGAGCTAACGCGTTCGTCGCCCCCAGGTGAGAGGGACACGCCAGTTCTTGGCAAACTTGTGTCCATGCTCCCGCCTCCGTAGTCATAAACTCGAATTGTGAGCGTTTTCGACGCCCTCTCTCCGTAAATCGTGCATGAAACCAGTGGGTGGGTCATGTTGCTTAGCCCACGGCTTATTCTTCCAACGCGGTCGACGTCGACATGGCCCTGGAGAGCATTCAAATTGCCTTCGCGAAGTGTGTTTGGGCGCGGTCAAGCGCCCGTCGATTTCTTGCACAGGTTGTCTTGAGCCAATGCGATCTTTGCTTCAATAAAATCGCGGTCCAATGGCGTGTGCTCGAGAGGCAACGACAGACACACACATTTTGAGCGTACGACCGAGTGTCACGACGTATGGCAACATGTCACAGTACCCACTGGTAGCTTAGTAATGGGGCTATCCGACGGGAGATGTGCAGCATGTCTCTTTTCCAACGAAGAGCGTGCACTTCCCTATGGGTAGCTGAGGTCGTGTTACGGTCAGCGTCATCACCCCATGTAGTCAGCACAGCGCCCCACCTCTGTTGTACGTCATTCACGACACCCCAAGCTGCAGCGTGTTGGTTAGCTCTCCAAGATGTTCTGGTCACCGAAGCCGCGGTTACGCCATGTGAAGAACGTTCGGAGATTCATGTTTTTGCCCTGGTTTGCGCAGTCCGCTCTCGCGCTCATACTCCACGTGATGACACAGAAACATCATTGCATGTGCAATTTTACTAAAGGGCCGTGCGGCCGCAAGAGGCTCCGTTACTCCGTGAGATGAGTTTCCCCTCACACCATGCCGCCAGTCTTGTCTCGCGTCTCGCCGTATCTACTGTCGCACCTCCACTGAACAAGCTGACTCATCGTGTGGGTGGCACTGGAAGACCGTGGTATGTGTGCACATGTGCATCTAGTCGGCAACAAGATGTAGTCAACGGCGCCTCTTGTACATGTACGTCTATGCGTGTACAAGTTTTGGTTGACTTGCTGCAGTTTCGGATGCCTGCCGCGGTCTCAGACGTCCTCCAGTGTACAAAAACGAACCTCTTTCCTGGTAATTGTTTTTGGTATTGTCCAATATCTCGAGCTGCTGAGACAGATGCTGGGCATTGTAGAGCTATTCCGCGCAGACTATAGGCTGCTGTCATAAATACTTGTTTTATGTATTCATGTATAAAACTGCTGTAGATCCACGGACATGTTCATTCTCACGCGAGCTCGGGTGCGCGGACCCTCGCAGCAGTAGTTTTTTTGTAAGCCAATTTGTCAGCACATTGGTGACAGATACATCCTACTCTGCCGGCTGCACAAGCTCTCTTCGGGAGTGTCCACACTGCTGTTTCGGTGCTTTAGCTCTCCGAGGGTCGTGTACATTTTGTGAACCGGTGACTGCTGTCCGTGGGAATCATGTCTGGAGCCCCCAGTCAATTTGACGTCAAGCATACCTTTGGTACAACACTCCTCTATGCCATTTTTATAATGCTGTGGTCGAGCGCTTGCTATTCATTTATTACCTTGCTGTTTGAAAAAGTGATCCGGACGGCGTTGTCCGAAGTACACGTTGTACCATAACGTCAAAAGACCTATGAGCACCAGTTCGAGGCAGATATCTTCCCGTATCATGTCATGCGGCAAAGTCTTAGAAAACCCAAAGGATGAAATGATATCATGATCAATGCCGCAGCAGCCATTTTCATCTCCGGCACACAAAATATGGCTTTTGACCGAAGGTTCTTACTGCTATGGTTTATAAAATATGTGTACCGGGTTCGGATCTCGGTTCGTCGTGTCCCATACCAGCAAGCATAGCCATGTCTTGGCTGCGGAACCCGTTTTGGAGCAAGGTAATATTTCTGCATCCCGCAAAGGGCCCAAGTTACCTGCAACTGCTGTCAAGCCCCCTTCTGGAGCATGTGGTCTGCACTGACATGCCTCGTTCGCCTCTCTCGTTGCCCATTATCTCAGCGCCTTCAACGGCGCCGCGGTGGCCACCCGGGCCCAGTCGTCCTCCGCCATGAAGATGTCCTTCGAGAACGAGCTCGGTGCCCAGCCCCCACTCGGGTTCTGGGACCCTCTCTACTGGCTGGAAGACGCGGATCAGGAAAGGTTCGACCGCCTCCGGTACGTGGAGATCAAGCACGGACGCATCTGTATGTTGGCCGTCCTGGGACACATCACCCAGGAGAACGTACGCCTACCCGGCAACCTTAACTTCGAGACTCCCTTCGCGGACATGCCTAACGGTCTCGCCGCCATCAGCAAGGTGCGTGGTCAAGTCTCGGTTGTGCTTCTTTAGGGCACGGGGTACCGTTATTGTTAGAGGCGTGTTCGGCGAGTAGGTGCATTCTGTTTTGCGATGGGGGAGTGCGAGCGACACAGCGGCTGCTTTTGTGCAGTCGCTCTTGTTCCGAGAAACACGTACTTTGCCCGCCATGCTTCGAGTAAATTGGCGATTGACGTTGGCTTGCTTGCCACTAGTGCGGGTAGTGTTGTACCAAGTCCATGTGTCACGATTGTGTTCATGGTGTACGCGTGCGCCCCTTCCGCCTCGCCTTGATACCTGACACGCAATCAATCCAACTGCTTGCGCGACTTTGCGACTTGTCACGACAGATGGGCCCCTTTGGCGTCGCTCAGATCGTCGTGTTCATCGGCTTCCTCGAGCTTTTCGTGATGAAGCAGAAGGAAGGTTCCTTCCCGGGCGACATGTCTCGCGTTAACCCGTTCGAGAAGCAGTGGGAGTCGTTCGACGAGGAGACCAAGCTCCGGAAGCGTGCGATCGAGCTTAACAACGGCCGTGCCGCGCAGATGGGAATCTTCGCGTTGGTCATCCACGAGATCCTTGACGGGGAACCATACATCATCAACAAGATCCTCGGCGACACAATTGCCAACGTGTTCACCTTTTAATTAGACCCTTACAGATCCTCGGTGAGACATCGTTTTGATCTTGTTTTTGGGTTGCATGGATTACACACCCGTGAATCCTAAGAAGCTAAGCCATTTGGCAGAAGCCGTGTCAGGGTGTGGAGTTGCCAAGTTCGTACGTAGTAGTATAGTTGAGAGGAGACGCCGTTGCTCAAGAATGGCAGGAGCCCCACTCAATAATGGTGTGGTTTGTGGTGTTTCGCGCTTGATCTCGATTTGGAGTCCGAAACAAGTAGATCACATATCGGGTTCCTCTTGTTTCTCACGCTCAGGTTACACCGGTTAGCGCGTGGGCCGTCGGCTCGATGCCAGCCATGTGCTCAACATCTCTTGCGCCCACTCCCCCATTCGCCGCCGCGCGCGCGTCGCTTCAAAAACAGGCACGTCCCCGTACCTTTGCCTCAGTGTTTGCGCAACACACGCGGGCATGGACGGGGTGTTAAATTGCTTGGATCAGTTCCTGCCTTCGTCGCTGCTGGTTATAGCTAGCACGTTGGTTCACACATCATAATTGTCTTGGTTGTACAGGCCTTCTGCTGAGACATTTTGGCGTCCCTTTTCTTTTTGTTGCGGTGGATCAGAAGTCAGCAGCCCTGTCTTGTTTTGTGCAGGTCGACGTCGGCGAGAATGTTGTCGGAGGTTGTGTTATCCCCCTTCCAAAGTGCGACTTTGAGGGAACCCCACCGTTGTCTTGTGCTGATGTGAGCATGCCACACTTTCGTTCTGCCCAACAGGACCATTTTTTTTCCGTCGATTCTATTATAGTGCGCAAACGATTGTCGTGTCGCTTTCAATTTTGGGCTTGTGTGGTACGTGCTTTGACTGCTGCTGCCACGCACGCATAAAAAATGTCAAGACAACACAAGATAATGGCTGATTTGTGGGCCTAGTGTCGCAATATATTTGCTGTGCGGACGCGGTGGTTCCACCGCTAGGGCACTTGGAACTTGTTTCCCAAGAGAAACCCAAGTGGAACAAGTCAAGGCAAACGAAGGACCCTATTTTCTCTATCTAAGGAGCCCTGTGGCTGGAGATCCTCCGCCGAAAGCCGCTGTCGCATTTCCTCCAGCAAACCCGCCGACCTGTGCGGTATCGTTGCAAGCATTCAATTTTTGGTCGCCGTGATGCTGGAAAACGGTACGCATGATGTGCATGCCCACCTCTTGTACTCCAATGTGAGAAGTTGCGCATGACAGCGGCAAGTGCGTGGACAAGTCTCACCGGATGTCTTCCTCAGCAGTATAGCCTTTGTTTTCGAGCACACGATTCCACCTGCGGTCATCATCCCAAACCGTGCGTGACATGTAAAATAACGCGAGTTAAGGTCGGTCTTCACAGAAGTCGAAGTCACATCCAGATTTGGTTATTGGACCGCAATATCCTTGATTGGGTAAACACTTTCTTCACCGGTCCACTCTTAAACCAGGATCACCCTAAGCCAAATCGGGATTTGAAAAGAATAGAAGAAAAAAGATGACATGAATGCCGATATGGGTGAGAACCGCAACCCAACTTGGCGAGTAGCAGTCTACTCGTGTGCACGGCGTGTCCCCACGTACCCTTGTCCACACAAACTGCGTCCACGTCACACATCGCCGAGCACAAATGAGAGAGCAGAAGCCAACCAACGTTGCTGGAAGTTTTGCTGCACATCGTTGTGCGAGGTATGTGTGGTCTGTTGGATATTCTCCCGTTGTTGTCAATCCTCCAATTCACAGACAAAATTGATCGCTTTCCGTCGGACAAGGCTCGATTCAAAGTCTCACATGCACATAGTGTCAGTACCAGGCCATGTACGCGTTTTGGTGTGTGTTTCTCAGGAGCGATAGCTTCCCATGTGATGTGACCAAGTCACAACAGCACACGTCACAAACAGTAATCTGGCAGTTGGCAAGTGGCGGACCTCTCGGGTTCTCCGAGGTGGGCTGCCGAGACTCGTTTCCATTTGGCAGATCTGCCGTTAAGACACACAACCATTTCGATCGAATTTGGGTAGAGGTTCAACTCTTACCTTCTTATTTTCAAATATGAATCGTGATTTGATTTCGTCGATATGATTTACCCTTACGGCGCGAAACAAACGCATGCAAAACTGAGAGACATATATAATAGCAGCCATGACAATCGGCAATAAACGAACGCATCACCTCGTCACGAGCTGCCACATGCGTTCGCTCTCGTCGGCTTGTTTGTGCTTGAGCTCCCAAAGTTGTTGGCCGAGGAGTGTCTCGATTTCCTCCTGTGCTCGAATCATTCCAGTTAGAGCGTGAATCCTTGATAGTGCCAAGTCAACGTTGACGGTCTTCTTTTGCTTCGAGTCTGCCTCCTGTGGCTGTCCATCTCTCAAGTTCTCGGAACGAAGTTCGGCGTCCGGTGTTTGAGCCGCATCCGCTTTTGTTCCCCCTGCAGCCGACACGGCATTCCGCTGCTGTTCCTGTTCCTCCTCGTTTCTCGAGCAACCAGCATCGCTAGGCGCACTCTGCCAGATGGAACATTCCATAATGAGAGCTCGAAAAAATAATCACAAGCTTAGGAATGTAGTATAGTTGTGCATGTCCTCACACATAGGACCTCTAGTGTTACGGACCAAGTTTTTATGCCGGCAGCCTCAAAAATACAGTGTTATCAGGCGGTGGATTTCGTGTTGCCAAACCATGCGGTCGCCGCAACAAGTAAAGTTTTGGGCCAACGCAATCAAATCTCACCGTTGAGATTGCTCTCTCGTTGCTCTCTCCTTCACAAGACCTTGTCGGCAAATGAGACCCGGCGGCCTGGGAGTGTCGCACGGCAAACCCTGGCCTCAAGCTCTGTTCGAGTAGCCCCGCTACCAACCTCTCCACTACCCGTAGCTCCTCCGCCCCTTCCGCCTTCTCCCCCCGTACTCCAGAACCGTTACCGCTTCCGCAGCCGGCACACAGATTCGGACCAAACGAAGGTCGAGACAAGACGCCATCGACAGCAACGCATCGATCTCGGCTCGCAGCGGGTGCCGGTATGCTTTCGCCGTCGTCTGAACGCCCGGTAGATCGGTTCAAGTCGCGATGCCTCAAGCGGCTGTTGCTTGCTCTCTCCCTAGTTGAACGGGTGAGCACAAGCACATCAAGCTCAGTCATGTGCGTCGTCAATCACTCGTTGTGATATACTGTCCCGAAGACCATAACATGCGTTCGGTGATATTCGACGATGCCCGAAGCTCAACAGCATACACAAATGGCGTGCTCGAATGGTCAGTGCTCACATGGTCAAAGGAAACATCGAGACAGGCAAGTGCCACATCACCAGGGATGAAAGCCGCAGGCATGCGCACCTTTCATGCGCTTTCTCCATTTCCCTATTTTTCATCGCTGCAACCTGAAGCTGTTGCTCCAGAAGTAGAACCTCACCCTCAAGGTCCTGGAACGCACGTGACACGCAGGGGCATGTGATTGGCGGATAGAAATCAAGATAGATATAACTTGGAGAGGAGGCGGTGCCGGGGAAGCGCACAGGCTGCTCAAACTTACCGGCGGAGAATTGTTAGTATGTAGATCAAGCGCTGTTCACCGTGTCAAAATCAGCCAACTGTATCGCCGACCAAAATCAAAAAGGCTACCCGTGTGGGGTTGCTCGGACTGGAAACAGGAATGGAAAGTTCCCACCACCTGACTGCGTGAGTTGATTGATCCCCCTGTCTGTGCACATGCGATGTGTGCTACTGCTGATAATACTGACGGTGAAGGCAGAGACGTGCACGTCCGGAAAGCATGGAACATACATACGCCCGGCGCTCTTATTGCAATCACCGCAACACATGCATATATCTTATTTCAGGTTCGTTTAGAAAGCATAACGTTCGAGTACGTGCTTCAGTTCGACCTATGGTGTTTACTAAAGTGATCGCCAGCCACCAGGCCTCTTATCTATCACCTGTACTCGTTTCTCGCAGATCGTCCTTCGCCGCTCTTCTCTCGTCGCGCGTGATGTTACCTCCCTCACGATACGCTCATGCTCTGCCTTGATGTCCACCAGGCGTCGGACAAATTCTTTCTTCTGCTGAACACGCAAACCGCCAACAAGGAAACACGCCAATGCGTGAACATTGCGCGCGTACGGGGTAGGGATGGTGTGTTTGAAGCCGCACAGACATGATTGCGTACACCAGGTCGTGTGCTTCTAATTACTAAGTGAAATGAGGAAACCCACAACTCATTAATGAAGGGCAACGTTTGTGGATATCGGGTGGGGACGGGCAGTGTACAGGAGCCAGAATGGTGCGCCAAAATCCATTAGAGTACAGGCAGGTGTGAACGGAAGCTGGGGCTATCTACGCGGTTCGCACACACGCTAACAGACAGTGCACGTAGATATCACTTGAATGAGAAGGGATTTCTTGATCCATATACCCTCTGAGCGAATCGAAGACAACTGCCGTTGTTCTTCGTAAGAAAGACAGACATAAGTACCGTGCTACATACAAAGGCGGTAAAGGCTTCCAGAAGGGATAGACTGCGTGGGGAAGGTCGCGGGCAAACCTCTCTTGGTTCAACTGCTACGCCAAGCTTGTAGACAAGGGAACAACGGCACCCAGTAAGCCGGAAGGGCTGACAAGAAGGGGAGGCGGGCATGCCTTGGATGTAAACTTTTTATAGCAAGTGCATTCCCGACACTAAGTCCAAAGGCGACAAATGATCAGCCGTAGGTTAGATACATGGCAGCAGATATTTTCCTGGGCAAACCTGCGCTTCGAAGGCCTCGCGCTGCGTTAGTCGGCCAGATTTTATGAGCGAGAGCTCTCGTTGTAACGCTTCGACCTGAGATCGGCAAAGTTCAAAATTGTTGTAGACACGAGGTACTTCGACGATAAATTCCAAGCACATGTATGCGTACCCGTGTCCACATACGCATGCCCGCACGAGGGTACAATTGTAGATATGACTGCTGTAGTCTGTACAGCTGCTACACAGTGCACAGAACGCATAACGGACGGATCGCTCGAATTTCAAAAACAATGAACTCTTTAACTCAACAGATACCCACAGCAGATCAGATCATAACGTTGACATCCTTTGATCTGAGCTGTACATACGCATATGGCGGCTGCACAAACGACAGCGGCCAAGAAATTTGTACAGGTAAGCTGCAATGCATGTAGGGGAAACATTGGCCGGTTTGATCTTCATCTATACAGATGGGGGTATTATAGTCTAGACATCAACCATTTAAAATTACCTCTGTTTACAAAATTAGTGCCTATTTGGCTCGTCTAACCACTCACCCGTAGCATGAGCATAGTGCGATCTCCGTGGATCCATGCTCCTACCAGCATTCCTTCTAGTTCGGCTTCCATCAGTGCCGTGTGCGTTTACCGGCACCGCCGAGTCCGCCGCTCAGCAGGGCAATGTATGACATAAACCATTGCAGCAGGGGGTGGGTCGTGGGGGCCTCCTATCCCGCCCCCCCCCACTTGATATTTTTGTTCTGGTTGCGGGGGCACGCTGCCATGCTACTGCTTAAGTTGTCCACGCCGGCTTCTCTGTCTCCCGGCGCTGCTGCTCTGCTCAGCTGAGCGCTTTGTCAACAACACGGCATGCGATTGTCGAACGGATCGCAGACATTTCGAAGAGATTCCGAGGGGTTCCTTGGGCGAGGAGAGGGACCCAACGAGAGCGAGCCGTTCTTGTTCCAGCAAGGTGAAAATGACCACGATCATCCCGCGGAGGAGCTATCGGTGCATCGTATACAAGTACTGGCGAGAAGATGCGCGTTTCCGTTTGCAAGAAGGATACCACGGGTCACGAAAAGGTCAGGAGGCAGTGTTTCCACTCCGCTGGTTGCTGGTTGACAACTAACTCTGTACCTGTGTTAGCTCTTGGTTGGTGATATCGCCGCAACCCAGACCTGTGTGATTGCGCCGCGTTTCTTATACAAGGGAGGTGTGAGACGATCGACCACATGTACCGCTCACAACGAGCTGTTTGTATCTACCCACAACCCACCGCTCTGCATGCGTACGACAATCCCAGGCGAACGGGTCAGGTCCTCTTGCTACTCTGGCTCTGCTGGATTGTTGCTGCCTGCATAGAATGGCGAGCTCAGCACAATTTACGCCGCAGTCGAAAACAGGTGAAATACTTCTCCGGCAGATATGGTGCAGCAGTACGTACAATCGGCGCATTCCAGGCTGGAAGGTGTCCCGCCTGGCTTCCACTGCTGTATTCCTACAACTGCATGTACTTGTGCAGAGGGAGAGAATGCTACGTGAACGGCCGTGGTAGCAACAACTGCTGTTACAATGAAACAAAGTGAGGCCGAATTTCAAAAGCCGTGTGTTCATTTTCTATGGTTGCATGCATACGGCTCAACAGCTTTGCCACACCCACACCCACACCCACAGTTGTAGTTGTAGTTGTAGCACGGCTCGTGTCTCGTGGTCTCTTTTTGACGAAACGACGAGGAACGTCCTCCGGTTGTCAGCGTTGATCGTCAACAAGGCCTGCAGATGTGAACTGCTGGGGTGCAAAATCGCACTTCCTCTTGTTAGCGTGCATTCAGAAGGACCCACTACACATGCACACAGGCGCACCGGCGCTTAGATCACATACCATATTGCGCCATGCCAACGCGAAACGTGGCCATGCCCCCGGCCGTTCTTTTGAACGCGGTGACAATGCCGACCTCGTGCATTTCTCTTGACTTGTGCACGCACCCAACAGCTGGTTGCTTTCTTGCAAGAAACAACGTTTTACGTGGTGGAGGAAGGGAGACTTTCTGAGAGTTGGCAGTCGCCACTGCAGCGAAGATTAACGCCGCAAGTGGATGGTGAACCTGTCGTTGAGGGGGAAGCAAGACATGGCGAAGAAGAATCAGACCGACAAGAACACAGCAGTAACAGCAGTCCAGTCGGTGTTGACCGTGACCTGGGACGAATACGCGGAGAGTTTGCTTCGGCAGGGTATGGGGACAAAGAGGAAATGCCGTCGGACGGTTTCTCAGGGCGATCGCAGGCTTCAAGGCAACACCGAGAACCTGTGGATGAGTGGTTGCGACAACGTCGCTTGAGATCTCAGGCCTCTGCTGAAGGTCATGAGTCCTGCCCGCTAATCTACACGGTGGATGCCAAGACCGCAAAAAAGCACGGCCTCCTCTTGTTCCAGGTAAGCTGTCAAAGAATAACGCACTTCTGTCTATTCGGCATCTCGCTTTTTCAACTATCCCATGTAGCTTGCTACGTGGCTTGCTGTCGTGTCTCTCTCACTACACATAAAACGCTCCGATCAGCGTTCACAGAAGAACGACTGTTCTGTAACGAAAACAACCATTTCTGTAACGAAAAGAAGGTTTGCGTTTGAGACTTTCTGTGCTTGTCGCTGGCCGAACTTGTCCACGTCTTGACCACCTTGCAGTGGTGAGAATAGATTGCAGAATGGTGCATACCACACACGTTTCACGGCAGCTGTTGGTTTGTTTTGGATACACCTCCAACCGCCCACCGCAATTTGGTACTACACTCAGCGGTTCTTGTGTGTGTGTATTTGCGGGGTTTACTCCACACCGCCTCCACGACTATGCCTTCGCGGCTAGTGGTTCGTTGATGGCAAAAGTTGACCTGGTCATTGTAACACGGTCCTTGCATCTGTGGTGTAGCAACATTGAGCTGAGGCTTCAAACGATGAATTGCTTTGTAGCATGTAGCATATCATGGCGATTTTTTTCGCCGGCTACAAATGTGTTGTTCCCATCAAAGCTCATGGCTATGGGGGACTTTGCGGATAGCGCCTCGCGCCGGAAAGCGATCACAGCCGCTATGGGCTGCAGACGCGAGTCCTCGTGCTGACATTTTTGCGCATGTTTGGATACATTTCTGCCGTGCACAGGAGGAGCTCGAGTTGCTGGGAACTGTCACGGCGCGACTGTGCCGTTGCCTCTGCCATTCCCCCGTTGCGCATACCCAAGACCACCCACAGGTGTGCTGTGGTGTGTCATATGCACATCTCAAGGTGCTCTGCAAAGTTAATGTTCGGCCAGAAGCGCGGGAGGATATTCAAGATGTGGCATTTTCATGCATGTTCGTGACCCGAGTTAGAAACGTCGGGATCAAGGAACCCAGCCCGTCTCTCGTAGTATGACTCAAAGCGCATCTGGACAGAGTAGGTGATCCTTCCTTCCTACGATGCAGCGCGGTTATGAACGCACTTCGTTCTGATCTACGTACAGGGCCAGAGAAGAACTGCGTTTGCAGCAGCAAGCGATAACCGGCACAAGAGCGCCGAGGCTGAGCGACCGCACCGTAGGCTTGGGGTGTGCGAAGGGGAAGCTCATGCACTGATGTTGGAAGAGATGCTGAAGGGGGCCAACGTTGTCATCTCCGGAGACTCAGGTGGGACTTTACTATGTCGCTCTCCGCGCTCTCCTCAGACCTCGCGCTTTGTGAGGCTACGGTACAGTGGAGGTAAAAGAAGGCCGAAAGCTATCAATCGGATGAGACCGTGCTGGTAGTGGTTCTGTCTGACCTGCTGATCGAAGTTGTCCGAAAGCAGCTCGTGTCCTTTCTCAATGCCTGTTGAATCTTGTGTGCTCATCCAGGTTGGTTCTACAGATGGTTCGAAAGTATGCAGGACGCCTATGCAAGAACATGCAGCCATTTCTCCACCCGCTCCACTCTGGGGATTCCCGAAGGAACCGTTCTGCGAACCGTGTTGACAGGTGAGCTAAACCGCTGTTCAATCAACGCACGATCGGCCCTAGTACTTCACGCGATTTCATGGGTAGAAAGAACGAGCGGGGGTGATGTCGTTTCAATGTTGTCACGGAGCAAGACGAATCGAGGATAATCCCTACTGCCGTTGCTCTACATACCCAAGAGGTTGTGAGAATGGGATATTTTGTACATATTGTTTGCACATCAAAGCGATTGACACTCGCCCACATTTGACCCAAAATATTTTAACCTGTGGGTTGAAGCCTCTGCATCGAAGTGTGGGACACTTCGCACGAGCAGTATACATACCACCACATGTATTGTGACGAACCACCGCGCCGGACCCTACGATTGAAAACCGTCTTAGGTTATTCCCCCCTTCCCCTGGGCGGGCAGGGCTGGCTGGTTACTTTGGGTTGGGTTTGACTGGGATATGTTAGGAGTAGGGGTTACGCCGGGTTGATTGGGTTGGGCTCGGTAGTTAGTTGTTTGTTCCCTCGTGTGCGAGTATCCGACAACTTTTTAGGGAGTGCATGAAATGGCTCAAACAACGTGAAGAGGTTAGGCATGCCCTAGAAACGCTTTGCCAAATATTTCCAAGTTCATCCAAACTTTTGTATCTGCCGGTCACGTCTTTGTTATAATGGGTGTTGCATTTTCTCATCGTAGGGACTGATATGTACGAGGACAGCTGGTTTCAACTGGAGGGTGCTGCATGGCGTCCTTTCCGACATCCCATCGACGCTGTCAGGCATGGCTTCAACTTCATGCAGTACAAATTGCGTCAATCCCAAGTGAGTCTCTCTCGACGCTGAACCCACTTCGGTGCAAGCAGTTGGCCCGAAGACAACCACGCGCAAACTTGGACATCTACACCAAGGTGCTGAGGGTTCACGTCGTATACACACGTTACCACCCCTGTGGCAGTCGCGGGTATCTCTGTGGTGAACTAGCAGCAAGGGTCACGTGCGCGGGAGTCTCGAGCGGCACACGCATCGGGTGTACAAGGAACTACACTGTATCATCAGTGGAGGCGATCAACAACCGGAGTCCTCTATATCAGTAGCAGGAACGGGATCCGAAACAAGAAAACAACAACCGGAGTGTCAGTTTGGTGCTTCTTGTGTGCTGAGCCGTGCCCAGGACTACCCACACACCAAGTTGGCCGAGATAACGAAAACGGAGCTGTGCATATAGTTGTTGATAACGAGCGCAAGACAGCGTTGCCGCCATGTTGTCGCTCTGTAGATACCGTACCTTGGAAAGTCGTGGACAGCTGCAGGGTTTGTTGTCGGCCATGCACACAAGAGCGTCGCCGTTGCTTGTATGGTGTGTCGCTGGTGTGCCCAAAAACATGGACGAAGGGTGACGAACGCGCTATATCGGCGCTTGGCCCTTGAATATGCGGAATTTCGGGTAGTTGTTCATCGAAACGTACTCTTCCATGCGCATCGCTTGCCCCTTAGTGATACACGCCTTTTTGTTTGTCGTCTGCTTGCTTCCAAAAGGTGGGCCCACTGGGCAAATCAACCCACACGGATCTTCATCCAATGATGGTAACGTTTGATGGGTGCGTCAGAAGCAACGACGCGCAGAGTGCCGGAGATGATCCTCCTCACGGTGGCCGGTTGCTGATTATCCCTGAGGATGTATAGCAGGAACATCCGATCCTGTACTCGCATGCGGTGTTGTACACAGTAGGTCGTTGATGTACGGACATACAAGAGTTGTGGCGTACGCTCGGGAACGAATGTGTCTCGTCGGCAAGGTTCGAGAATAGTGGCCTTCACGCGTTGTGTTGATGGCGAGGAGCCTGATCAGTGCTTCACTGGATTCTCCAAAGGTTGCACCGTGCCAATGGCATGCGCGTAAGCGCAAGAGGGGAGTCTGGACATGGCCTCATGCTCATGTAGACTCACTGTACATACTATGCACCGAGCTGTCTTGAAGAATTGAAGATTCATGTACCACACCAGTTTTCTTTTTCGTCTCGCAGCGGCAAGCATCGCCTAAATCGATACCGAGGATATTTAGTGTTGCCGCTGCACATCCTTACTCACATACAAAATGTCATACCATTGGTCGGGGGCTGCAGTTTTCCAAAGAATCTAAGCTCCTTGCCAGACGAAGGGTGGATTGGATTCAGTATGAAAAGTTTCTGGAAGGCCCTTTGCATACTGAAGAAGCCAAGTGAGCAGCAAATTTTCCAGTACCTTCCATGTACAGTTATACGACCTAGGGGGCACGCGGGTTGCAAGATGTGTACGGCAAGTCGGAAACCCAGGACAGGCATATCACACAGCGTACCACCTCAGCCAACCATGATGGACCAAAGGTGCTCACGTGCGTTGCACGAAGCGGAGCCTGGGGTGACTACAGTGCGGTGCATTGGCATTTGAGTGCTGTGCCCCAAAAGTATCCCCATTTGGGTTTTACAGGACTGGGAGAGTTTAAGTTCGATCGAATGCGTTCATGTACACTTTGAGCTTGTGACTGGACAAATCGGACAACTCGGACTTGCGTTTCGACATGTACCGAAGACATGACACGCGCACAACAAAGCGACGTGGTTGCACGATACATCAGCCTGTGGAGGGCAAAATGTGTGTGACATCACTCCATGGCAGAACCGCATGGTACAGGGCGTCATGCCCGCGAATACAGTATAACCATGTCAATTAATCGGCTGGAATTGCCCAGGCATGGCACGTCGAGCAAAAAGTATGTCGTGATTCCGCCAAAAAAACGGCCAACAGACCACATAAAAGAAAATAAAAAGTTATGGTTGCGTCGTCCATTCTATTTACTGGCAGAAATGACTTCTAACCCGACATTCTACGGTACCAAAAAAGCTGAGCGGACCGTTACGAGCTCTGCAGACTCATGAAACTGACGCCAGCAACCTTAAATGATGTGACAATGGTTGCCATCTTGTTGAACCAGTAGCCGCCCCAGCGACTCGAAGTCCATTGATGGCTTAAGAGCATTGCCTGTCGATGAGTAGACCGCGATGCGATTCTACGCCGACAACAACGCAGCCCGATATCACAAAGCACTCAAGCACAGGGTTGAGAACTGCCGAAGACTCCACGCCTAGATTGGAAGGTGAGTAGCTGGCGGTGGGACCTGTTGATAAAAACCCACACAAGAGACAGCAGGCAGGCGGTCCAAAACGAAACTCGTGAGATGTCAACATGCTTCATTCACCTTGCGTACAACGGAGGAACCAAGTTTTCTACGCCGAAGATGACTTGCGACTGACCCCAAGGCATCCTAGTCGTTATTGCAGCTTCTCGAAAATACTGCTGGAAATTGTCTCCTTTCTCCTTCCGGATCATCATAGCAACGAGGCCTCATTGCATACCAACGTGCTAAATGTATATACGTCAATCAGTCGACTTGCGAACTTACATGTGGTTTAGTTGAAGGTGTACGGCATGCCCAGCAGGTCCTGTTGTTGGCGAGCACGACATGTACGAGCGCCAGGGAAGGGGGGAAACAACACGTGCATGTCAGTGGTGATTGAGCGACACATTAGGCTGGGGACGATGGGGGAAGAGATGCTGAACACGAGACTAACTACATAGGGTAACTTCATGGTTCATCATTACACACACCTCGAACACTGTGAATGGAACACGGGACTTCGGGGGTGAATCGGGGAGCTTCGTGAGATGCGAACAAGTCAAATCACGTCCACTGACCTCGCATCGACTTCGGCAGCTCAGAGACGAAGGCAACCATCGACAGATGCATATGGACAAACTCACGTTGATGATATACGGGTGGTTGTTTACCGCCTCGTGCATCATGAGGCCCAGGATGCCCATCTGCGCTGCGCGGCCGTTGTTAAGCTCGATCGCCTGTCGAGAGAAACCAAGGGCACAAGTATCACATCAGACCTCGAACGTGAACGCAGTATGCGGATGCCAGACCAAGCTGCACCTGTACTTCGTCAAACGGTTGGCGCGTGGGCCTACGACTGCATCCGGAGCAGTGACGTTGGCATGTGTGACACGAAGCCAAGCCGCAAGTGCTTGCTTTCGCAAAGATGACCAATGGGATAATGCTTTAACTTGGGGAAGAACGTCATTACACTTCCATGATGCTAACAACGGTGTGCGCCCCAAAACATGTGAAGGGATGGCCCAAGCTAAACAACAGCTCAGCGCAGCACTACTTTTGGGATATTCATTATTTGATCATACACTGCTGCGAAAATTCAGAACGCAACAAAGTGCGCCTCAAAATGCCGGACTCACCCTCTTCTGCTCCTTGACCTCGTCCGAGAACTTCGTCCACGCGTACGGCTCGCCAGCAAGGGTCATGTCACCCGGGAAAGAACCCTCCTTCTGCTTCATCACACCGAGCTCGAGGAAACCGATGAAGGCAATGATCTGGAAGAGCCCGAGAGCCGGGATCTTCGACAGAGCGGCCAACCCGTTCGGCATGTCCGCGAAGGAGAGGTTGGCCGAGGTGGACAACATTCCCGGGAGCCTGAAGTTCTGCTGGACGAGGTGCCCCGCGACGGCGAGCATAGAGATGCGTCCGTGCTTGATTTCAACGTACCGAAGGCGGTCGAACCTGAAGAGATCACAGAAGACGAACACAGTACAGCAGTAGCGTGAGCGTCCTGGTTCGAGCAACACACGCTTTCCAAGACCACGACGGCCATATCATCATGACACGAGTGTCCACTCTACCGCGACCGCACGTCAGCGAAGGTAAGGCATCTATACCTATGCAACATGTATTCCATGCGATCACGAATGTCGCAGGTACGGAGAGCCCTCAGGACGGCCTGTAACGGCTGTACGTACCGAGACAGGTATAGCAGTTGAAGTGTGTTGCCCTCCATACATAGGAAGATGAACAACAACGGAATAGCTGGGGTTGCATCCTGTCTGTTGTAATTCCCCCATCCCCCCCCCCCCCCCAAGCCGCCCCTCCCGGTGTTTGCCATCGGGATTGGGTTTCGTCGCTTGGCAACGACGTTGTAAAACAAGCC